ACATACTAAATTAAGTAAAATCACGGGAATATACTGAGAAAAGCTCTACTAGTTTCAAACCACAGAGCGGTTCTTCCTCATGAGCTGCGCGACGTCGCCGCAACCGCGCTGTTCTCTAAACTAGTAGAGCTTTTCTCAGTATATTCACGTAAGTAACACGCGATTTTACTTATTTTACTTTAATCCATAAACTCTTAATAAAAACCGACAAATAATATAAAAAAATAAATCGGGGGGTTGCCGGAGCTCCGGTTCGAAAGCTCCGGCAACCCCCCGTTAGTCTAGATTTATTTAAATTTTTATTAACTTAATATTGTTCAATTTAGAGCAATAAACACTATTATTTAAAGCCTCCTAGTTTTAAATTGACCACAGAGAATAAACTCTCAGATGGGATGGATAATCTATTGTTGAATTTCCCGGGTTTCAAAATTCTTCGTAAGTAAGAAATTTGAAATGTGCTCAGTATATGATAAATATGTCCAGCCCTATTAAGAAAATTATAAGAAAACCTATGAAAAGTGCACTTTCACGTAACAAAACCTCTGTCTATTCCTGCAAGGAATAAAACTAAGTTTCACGATAAAAAATACTACAAACACTGAAAATAAAGCAATAAACTACATAACAACAATCGTACAAAACACGGAACGCCCGCCATTGAATTATTAATGACAAATGACAATTAAAACATCGAAACACTTGTACGCCATCAATTAACAAATAAATAATGTATTCGACATTCTGTTATTAATTTGTTCGTTTTAAATATGTTTGTTTTGTATCTAATTGCACGTTTGTTTACTTATTAGTGCATTTTTTACGAGTTCAAAAGAAGAAGGTTCTCTCTTTGACCTGTCTGTATGCATACATCTCGCGATTGACTGAGCCGATTTTGAAGCAGTTTTCAGAAAAGTGTTACACCATGGTCACCCAAAACACCAAGGCGTTAAAAGTGCGTTACTGGCCTTTTGGGAATTGGGAATTTGAGGATTTTTATAATAACTATCGTGAGACATACTAAATTAACTAATTCGTGAGCAAACAAATTAACTACTCGCGTGCGCGGTCGCGACGTCGTACGACCGCGCACGCTGCTCATAAGTAAGAACCCCTCTGTGGTTCGAAACTAGTAGAGCTTTTCTCAGTATATTCACGTGAGTAACCCGTAATTTTAGTTAATTTGAGGATTGCGGAGGATTCAGGGATTCGGGAGACAAGGGAGGGGCGTAATTGCAGACACAACGCAAGCGTTGCTTCACGTCGGTTTTCTGTGAGGCCGTGGTATCACTCCGGTCGAGCCGGATACATTATGAACTAACCAAGCAATTTTTCGACAAATCAAAAATAAAACTGAATAATAGTCCATTTATAATAGTAGACAGAAATTCCTATTACATTTCAGTATAAATGCAGCTCAATTAAATCATACGGTTCTCTCCATCTGCATATTCAATTTCATTCCGTGCATATTGCGATTCGTTACTCTGGTACTGTCATAATACAATTTAACAATTTTAAATGGTACTTGTATGCTTGGGTAAAGAGAGTAGAAATAACATCACGTCTTTTATTTTTATTATGTGCTTGACAATTCAAAAAATGAGGTTCTAATTTGACTTGTATTATTATTTTTTTAAACAAAAAAAAGTTACAATTAATATTTTATTAAGTATATAAAAAGTAATAAAAGTTTTATAAGTAAGTATATTCTTGGATGTTACTTATATCCTGGACTAATATAAAAAAATGTCTTTGATAAAATAGTATGGTTCTAATTAATAGATTTTCAACTTTATAACACAATGATAAGCTTGGAAATGTGTTAATTTACAAGAGCGACGTTCTTTTTCTTTTTTTAAAAACGTCGCCCCGCACTACGATTTTCTCATGTGTCGTGGGTGCGTTTACAAACATACAATATCACATACACATGACACCCAGACCCGGAACAACAATCTGTGGATCACACAAAGACTTGTTCCGTGCGAGACTCGAACCCGCGACACGTTGCGTGGCAGTGAAAGTATATGTATGTATGTATGTAATATGTTAGTACACGATTATCTCGCAATTGGCTGAACTTTTTGATGACGGTTTTCAGTAAAGTATTTGTTACACTTAGGAGAAGGTTTTAGTATATATATTAAGTAACAGACTTCAAAAAAGAGAGCCGGTTGAAGTCGGTTGTTTTTTAAACGTAGTTTGTAAAAGAATTATTAGAGGTTTATACCATCTTGGGATAATTTAATGTCATTAATATTCCGACATGGTTCACTGGTGGATTATAAAACTCCTTTATATAACTAAATGGGTTTTTCATAATGTCCAGCCATTTCAGAGATTAACCAGTACATACAAACAGACAGACTGAAAAATTGTAAAAGAGTTATTGTGGTATGTGTATCGCAAGTATATTTAAAAGCGGTTATTTTAATATTACAAACAGACACTTCAATTTTATTAATCCGTACAGTATAGATGTACAGATTGTCACCTCCACCATCATCATTCGCAATAATGTCATCGAAATCGATGCGATCTTTCGTATAATCGAATATATGTACGTTGGTTCGAGATCCCGTACCCTGCAATGTACCAGCGACTATTACTAATGATCCCGGTATAATTAATTGATTACCTCATTGGTCTGCCGAACACGGAGGCCGATCAATACCCGGTTTGGGCAGTGTTGGTTCTTTGGCCGAGTGGTGAAAAGTAAGGCTAAGTAAGAGGTCTTAGGTTCGATTTATGTGTAGAAAAAAGTAATTCATGATTTTGCGTTTTTAAAAATGTTCAATAAGAACATTGGGACTATATATGACAATGGGCTTCAAACATAACTGTTGACACCATCATGGAGTTACTATTAATATTTGTAGGGGCCAAGGACCCGACTGCTCCCGATTAAGAAGTAACTAAGAAGTTTACATGAAATATTTTAGCATCTACAAAAAAAAAAGTAAAAATATTGTCGTTGAAAAAAATAGACGAAAAATATATTTGACAGCTAACCGAATCGTCATCATTCCTTTTATGACGTTTCATAAATGGCAATGACATTGCTGTTTTCAGCCTTATTCGATGTACCGACCTATAACTGGCAACCTCTTTAATATTTTTACGGAAATCACCCTACATGCGTGTTTTGTCAGGTTCACGAAATAAAACGTTACTACTCTTTATGATTATGTTAGTTTTACGATTATGAAGAAGTTTTTTATGTTATTACAAGTCGGGAATCGGTAAAGGTTCTGTTTGCCTCGTTGGCCGAGTGGTCGCAAGTGCGATTGTCGGGCAAGGGGTCTCGAGTTTGATTCCCATATCGGGCAAATTATTATTGGGATTTTTTAATAATTTTCATATGGCTATGGTATACATATTCGCGGGTTCGATTCCCGCACGGAACAACTTTTTGTGTAATCCACAAATTATTGTTTCGGGTCTGGGTGTCATGTGTATGTGAAGATGTGAACTTGTATGTTTTTAAACGCACCCACGACACAGGAGGAAATTCTACTGTGGGGCAATGTTTTAAAAAAAAAAAAATTAAGTGGGTGTTACATTGTACAGTGGCATTAAGTGCCGTAATGTGCACCGCTGACTACTATGTTACTGTTTGTCTAGTAGTTGTGAGTGCAACTACTAACTAAAATATTGTCTATTCAGCAGCTGGATCAAAAAAAAGGTTATTCTTGAAGTTTAATTTCCATGTATGACGTTTGGCCATAGGTTACGATTGAAGATTTTGAGGAGCATTTTGATAACTTGTAGTGTGTGTAGCACCTCACCTAATAAGTAGCGTAAGTAAGTATAGTATTGGGTCACCTAATTCATAAAAATGGTAGACAGTCCTCTGGTTGTCTTCTGCTTATAACTTTGGAAATAACAGGTGTTAGTCAAATAAAATACATAAAAGATCCAATAAAAGTCAAAGTCAACTTCTGAAAGGTTGAATATTATGAAGACTCTGCCGACCTTTATACATTATAACACTTTAATCAGCAATATTAATAAAAAATGTATATAATAAGTACCCTAAACAAAAATGTGAACGTATAAAATTCCAAAACAAAAATAAAACAAACTATTGAGTGATGCCATCAAAATGTATCAGCAAGAATCGATACGCAAACTCGATTTCGAATAATCGCATTCGTACCAAAATTGAATTTCTTTACCTAAGAACAAGAGCGGGACAGAAAACGAAATTAAAATTCCGGCGCTCCTGATATGTAAAGAATTTTATTGAAAATTCTGTAGGCTCTTTGATTTTACTACATACCTACAATAATAAAAATACTTGAAATATTTCTAACGGCTCACACGCTCCGTTGTAGGTAAGTTCCTAAATTGAATGACTCAATGGATTTCAATGGCTATACGGATTTTTACAAATCGAATTCGAAATTTGAATACAGATATTTTTAGTTTATCTGTGGTACTTAGAGATATGGCGGTAAATTATTAATTTTATTTTACGATGGAAACTTGTTTCAGTATATCTTGTTACGTATTTTTTCATTTTAAAAACATCAATATCCATAACATGGGTGCTTTTTATGTGGTCCTTTTATCCGTAAAAACGAAAATTAGGATCGTTGATAAGTAGGGAACGAGATTATGTAGGTAAATGTTACGCGGCGCGGCGTGCAACATAAAAGCAATCACGATAACCGTTCATTAGGCAAATACACCGTAGGTAGTTTGTAACTATACAAAATATCGCATAGTTAACTTTGAGGTCAAATGTTATACGTTCCTAATAATTTACGTTTAATGGGCAGATAAAGTTTATTATTATTCTGTTTGGTTATAATGAGATGATTTACATTGACGTTGTTCAATCGATGCCTTATTTAAATGCACTAATTGTATACGTATGGATATATAGGGGAATGTCTCTGAACTAACGTATAGAAGGTTCAACACATCGCAGGCTCTATTGAAAGTCGATACTCTAAATTTTGGCGCAGATTCAGGAAGAACGCAATTCATGTTTACCTCGATATCTTCGATTTTCTGAATAAAACATCTACTCTTAAGCTTACATGTGTGTCGTAATCGACATCTTTTGTGTCTAGAGAAGGAAATGATCGAAGGTTTTTGGCATAGGAGAGAATTGAACGCTTGCCAAATCTGTGCCAAACTGCAACATAGCATGCTTGGGTGTGTGCGGGCGAGCTCACCGTTGGCATCAGCTGATCAGTACTCCGCACTCGCGTCACCTTGTTCTTGTAGATGAGCTTCTTGAGTGCTCGCTCCACCGGCTGGTTCCACCTCATGAACATCACGTACGCCCCGTACAGCGAGAACAGCACCAGCGCTTCTTGCCAGTATATCTCGCTGTCCCGGAAACAATATATCAACACGAGAAGGCTGACGGAATAAAAGGAGCAGTCTCGGAACAGGGGCCACCAAGTTAGTGTCAAAGTCGTTCTAGAGAACAGCGCACACGCACCGATCACGAACAAAATGTTAAACACGGCCGAGCCCACGATCGTCCCGATGCCCACGTCGTCGAACGACACGAACACGCCGATGATGGAGGTGAACAGCTCCGGCGCGGAGCCCCCCGCCGCCATGAACGTGGCGCCGGCCACATCATCCCGGATGGCCAGCCGCTCTATGATCACGTCCAGCGCCGGCACGAAGAACTCGTCGCACACGATGGCCAGCGCCACGAACATGTAACCCATGCCGATGACATGGAGCAGCACGGCTCCCGACCGCCGCTGGTCGTCCGTGAACAGGTCGATGGGGAAGAGCGGGGTCTTCTCTTCTTCTGGTGGCGGCGAGGGGCTGAGTTCGGTGGCATTGGGCTCGCTAGCCCGCGCCGCCGCCAGCAGCCCTAGCAGCAGCGCGCCACCCATGCCGCGCTCCCGGGGGCTCAGCGCACACTGCCGCGTGCAGCCAGCCGCCCCGCGCCCCCGCCCGCGCCCTCCGCGCCCCGCCGTGGGCCCGCTCGATAGCGCCGCACTGCGCCGCGCCGCCTCGCGCTTCGCACACCACACCGCTCCCATTCAATAGGAAATACAAGAAGTTTCGTTGCAAAGAACCTCTAAAAATGTATAGAGCCTTCCTAGGTTTCATGAAAGATTAAACAGATAACTTTCGCCTACTTTACAACTTGTTCAAAGAAGGTTCATCCGGTTTTAATCATGTTGATCATTCATAATTTCTGCTCATAGGCCTATTTAAGAATCAGATCTTCTGCGTGTCCCTGCCGTGTGGTTACGCGTACTCTACGACGCATCCCCGGCTCCCGACGCCCCGGGACTCGCGACAACCGCTCCTACTATACACCTCCAAAGCCCTTATTACTTCAAATTATCTCAACGCAACTACTTCAAATTAGTTTAGTAAATACTTTTAATTGTAACGTTCAACTGTCGAGTGAATGTTGATGATACATTGTCCTAGTAATTCATACAAGGATCAATTAGTTGCCTAAGATTGTAATTAAAGTTATTTGATGTCTTCAAAGCGACATATGTTTACACACACATAAAGTAACAATCTCATACTTTGCTCCACAACAGTTTACCCATTTCGTATTTGTTTTATACTTCAGTATTTTTGCACCACTGAAAGTCGAGGCAAGTTTGCACAAAACCTCTTAAACACTTTCCGGCCCGTCTCAGCTTCGACGCTGAACGTGATTTCTTGAAATAATTGCTAACCGTTTTTGCGTTCATTCCTACCTCGATGCTGAGATAAAATTCCAAGAGGTAATTGTGAAAAGAAATTCAGTCCTAGTAAAAAGAAAGCCGAGATTTTCTTGGTAGAAAATACACGTTGCTGTGTTGAACTGCAGTCGAGAAAACTTGTTCACAGTCACGTTCAATGTGAATAGGTGCCGCAAATAATAATACATTTAAATTATGAGTGGAACTTTTAAGAGGACAAATAGAAGCATTATTTTATTACACAAATACCGTTCTTAGAAAACGAAGTAGAGAACTAAGTCTTGGAATTTGGAGAAGTACTAAAAATGTAGCATGTGTGAAAAGACTGATAGCTGTTGATGAAGCAAAATAAGCAATTGGCGTTCCATAGTCTCTGCAGACAGTCTGGCAGTGAGATGTGAGGTAATGTATGTATGTATGCACTAAGAATGTAGATGTGAATATTTAACTCATTGGGATTTTTTATAGCAGGGAAAATCATCGAATGCGTTCTCCCACCTGGGTGAGGCGGAAGGGAGCGTTAGATTCTTACTGACTAAAAACCACCCCGTTCCTACTCCTGCCCTTCGAGCCCGAGCCCCGGTAAACTGTTAGGTTCTCCGCGGTTCCGAATCGGCATTAGCCCTATTGGGCCCCATCCGTGGTAGTCCCCACCAGCGACGTGCCGTACGCTCGGGTCTAGTTCTGGTCAGGCGGTGACCTGCCCATGCTCGCCATACGCAGGCCCGCGCTTACTGTGGCCGAAGATCGTTCCGCGATCGCCGACGACCGGGGTGTCCTTCGCGATGGCTGGACTGTGAGGAGGCAGCGCCCCGCCTCCTCCTTAGCTAGCATGACTGCTTCAGAAAAGAAGGAGACGGCATCCCAGGCCTCTTCGCTCCGCATCATGGCCCGCACTAGGGCCGGACGCGAGAGGTCGCCGTCGCCAATCACATGCACGGCGGTGCTCAGCCCACGCAGGGCATGCTCCTAGAGAGTGTTCCACCGTGTCCTCAGGGCGGTCCTCGCAGTGATGGCACCCGGAACTTATTAGGATAGGAATTGTAAATAATTAAATTATATTGGAACCACCACAAAAATAAATAATTTCGCTCTATTAAAAAAAATACAAAACGAAAAATTAAACCTGATTCTTATTCTTACAAAATTCCCAGATGACTCAGAAAGTCCGTAGAACGCTTGGAGATAAATCTTTCATTTTCCTTTTGAAAGGGGCAGCGTATAACGAATTGCAGCCACTGTCCCCCATTAGTGTCGTGGCTTCCGCAAGTGACATAAATTGCGGTTGGTTACCCACTTGCACAATTTGTGTCGTAGACTAGAGACACTTCGTAGCTAGGTGCGTAGCTCGTAGCGCTCGTAGCAGCGGTTACGAGCGAGCTACGGGTTCTGGTTTCTCTTGTAGTACTTGCAAAATAGGTTTTGATTTGAAAATATTATTAGTGAATAAGGTTATTGTCAGTAGAGACGTTTTTCTGCAAGTGGATTGAAATGAGTTATGTTATGTATGGAGCTTATCCTACTAATCTTACTAATATTATAAATACGAAAGTTTGTGAGTCATTTTGTGATTGAGTTTATTTTGTTAGTCAATCGCGACAAATCGTCTGAAGGAATCGGGGTAATATTTAGAACAGGTTTTTTTAAGGGGAAAAAGTTATCGAATGACTTCTCCCGCCTAGGTGAGGTGGGAGGGAGAGTCAAACTCTTAATGACTAAAAACCACCCCGTTCCTTCCTACTCCTGCACTTCGAGTCGGAGCCCCGATAACCTGTTAAGTTCTCCGCGGCTCCGTAGGCATCAGCCCTATTGCACCCCATCTGTGGCGGTCTGATGGCTCTCTGAGGAAAGCGACGCGCCGCACGCTCGGGTCTAGTTCTGGTCGGGTAGCGAGCTACCCTCACTCGCCGTCCGCGGGCCCGTGAGGGGCAGGTTATTATCTGGAAAAATACATAATTATGCTACTTTCATCCTATGCGAACTCAAACGATACCGCAAAAGCAGTAGAAGCTAGAATATTATAAGATATATTTGAATTTGTTTAGCATATCTTACAACAGTGATACGATCTCAATTACATTGCATTAGGTAGGTATATGGTAATAGGCTCACCCCTTATATCATGGGACTCATAACATAGATAGTGAAAAGTGGGTGTTATATTGTACAGTGGCATTAATGTCGGAATACTGAAACGTTACTCAATTTTAAGTCGTGTTTAAATATCGTGCCATCTCCCTCATTTTATAAAGAACTTGTAGTGCCAGAACTATACTTAAGCGCGACTTAAAATTGAGTAACGTTTCAGTACGACATAAGTGCCATAATGTGTACGTCTGCCAATCCCTTCGGTGATAAAGAACGTGATGTTATGTTAGGTATAAAAATATGAAGACTATTTCACTAAAATACGTTAGCTGAAAGCATTTAACCCATTCGATGTAAATTTTATTATTCCTTTAGAATTGACTTGCGATATCGTAACCCTGCAATCGAAAGCGCATAGATCCAATCACGATAACCATTGCAGTCGGGTACATAGCTTAATAAATAATCTTTTAATGCATTGTTTGTTATAACAAGCATTTTATTAATTACTGCAGTAGTAAGTTACAATTTTATTGTTTCTATTTTGACCTTAATTACCTACTTAGGTAGCAAAATAAATGACGTAAGAGATATTCTTTCTGTTAACTTTACTAGTCAAATTCAATACTTTTATCGAAACGTTAAAAACGATACTGTTCTATGAATTTTGTACGAAATACCAGCTTATAACGTCATCATATTTTCGCGTCAAATAACACACTTATATCTAAAAAAAATGCTAGAATAAATCGAAAATTAAGTATATCCGCAAATCAATAAATGAAAGTGTAACTATTTTTCAATATTTAATTGGACTGAAAAATCAAAATATATATTTTTGACCCAGGAAACTACCCAATTACCTGTCAGTTCGAATTTTTAAAGTGAGTGCGATCGCATTCTCGCCTGTCATTGGTCGAGATTATTCTTGACAACCAATGGCGGACCCCATGAGTTCACTTCGTTTCAAAGTCAAAGTCAAAGCATTTATTTCAATTAAACCATAGTTTGGTACTTTTGAAATGTCAACAAATACAAAATAAATAATAGTCTGTCAGTCAGTACGTCAGTGAAACTAGGTGAAGCTAGGTGCTCATTCCAAAAAGTAGATTCGAATGGAGAAGAACGAGCAAGAAACTCCATTCGTTACTCTTTTAAAAAAAAAGTATGTTCTACAATGTCTCTGATACATATTTCAATACTGTACGCATATGTAAGAACAATGCAAAGACATGCTTGACGAATTATACTAATAACTTACTAAAATTAAAAAAATATATAAAAATCTTGAAGTCCAACATGGTGCTCACATCTCTTTGTTCTTTTGAAATTAAAGAAGTTCTCCACTCGTTTGAAGTGAGTATATGTAGAAACACATATTTTCATGCACATCTTAATCTAGACTAGAACATAATAACGATTAGTGGGTCACACAAATCTCATACGTGAATCGAGTGCGCGCCCAGCCAGCCACGGCCAGCCATTGCTTGTACTTTTTGAAAATACTTTTCCTACTTAATACCTTGTCGTGGTAGCCCGAAGGTTTAAGACGCCCGCTTCTCATGCATGAGGGTACAGGTTCGAAACCTACCAACGGTAAGTACCAATGTGACTTTTTCCGAGTTATATGTACTTTCTAAGATTATTCGGACACCACTGACAAGCGGTAAAGCAGAGAAAGGAAGGTGAACATCGTGAGGAAACCTAGGCTTATAATTTCTAATTATAAGTTTGTAATCGCCAACCCACATTGAGCAAGCGTGGTGATTAATGCTCAAACCTTCTCTGTGTGAGAAGAGGCTTTGCTCAGCAGTGGGCATTTAAAGGCTGTTGTTGATGATGGTGATGAATTGATGACTTAATACCTAATACTTTACTTACTTCAAATCTAATTTAAATGGCTTAATCCAATTCCACAGCCAAATGTATAGTGACCACTCAACTAATGAGGTAGATCCGGAACTAAAGTATTTTACTAATAATTGAATTATCAATTATTAAGTAATACGATTCACCTACTTTAAATGTCAGCATGAAGGTATTGAAAATAATTATGTAGACGTACATACCTTTATTTAAAACAATAATTAATACACTAAACCGGTGTAGATAGTGCGTTTCTGGTCAATTTACATCTATGTATAAGAGAAAAGATTTGATTTTTTTTATTGTTTCTTCGTTTAAATTGAATAGACTCGGAACCTACAGGACCGATTTAAAAAAATATTTTGCCGTTGAAACCTTACATTATCCATAATGAACATAGGCTATACCTATTTAACTCGTCGAGTACCGGTTTTATAGACACAATTAAAGAACAATAGGTCGCGGTCACCGGTGACCGCTTGGTGTTTGACAGTTTAATAAGAGAAAAATAGGGAATCATGTGAAAATTTCGATAATGTAACCCGATGTGCGAACAAACTACCAAAACTAAACCCCTTATATTGCTTACTCCGTGGAAATTATTGAAAATAGAGTAAAATGATGTAGAAGACTCTTATATTGAGGACATTAATATCAACGTAAAAGTCCAAGATCTCATATTATGTCTAATTATCACATACAGTTATGACCTAATAACTACTTTTTCATCTAAAACACCGCTCCGGTACAAACTATATGCTGGAAATCCCAGTATAACGGGAACTATGTGTTAAATTCCGTGTAAAACCCCTCTATATCTTAAAACACTGAACTAATTTGAATTAAGTACAACTATAGTTTAAGACAGAGAGAGGACATAGAACAATTTTTATGACTGAAATCTCAAGCGTAATACCTACAACTGACACGACAGACACGACCGAAACGACAAACACGATCGACACGACCGACACGACCGATACGACAAACACGACCGACACGACAGACACGACCGACACGACCGACACGACCGACGCGACCGACACGTCCGACACGACCGACACGACCGACACGACCGACACGACAGACTCGACCGACACGACCGACACGACAAATACAACCGACACGACCGACACGACCGACACGACCGACACGACCGACACGACCGACACGACAGATACGACCGACACGACAGACACGACCGACACGACCGACACGACAGACACGACAGACACGACCGACACGACCGACACGACAGACACGACCGACACGACCGACACGACCGACACGACAGATACGACCGACACGACAGACACGACCGACACGACCGACACGACAGATACGACCGACACGACAGACACGACTTTGTCAAAATCAAGTTTCATTCAAAACTAATTTTCAACCAATCAATTGACTATAAATTAGTTTAAAGTGCGAGGACTAAAATCTTATGTAAGTTTCTGCTAAATCTATGAGCATAGTTTAAATAACCAGATAAAGCATTGCCTATCAGTAGTTTGAACTTTATTAGAAAAGGCGTTTTGATTCGTTATTTTGAATAAATAAATGGTGTTAGTATTTTTTGATTATGATCTGGTACATGATTACGTGTATTCAATTATTGTGAGCAGTGCTATTAAATGTAAAATGAATATTAATTTCATTTTTACATTAGTAACTCCAACTCGACTATTCTTTATTTAGTGTTACTAAACAACACTACTGCTATTAACTTCACTTCACTAGTGTCACGCAAATGGAATGTCATTGACCGACTTATCACACGTAGGGTTTCTAATTGGATTATGGTTATAACTAAAAATCGGTTTTGGTGTTAATTTTGTTAACTGAAAATACAATTAGTCACCAAGATGTGGCTAGACGAGGCGGACGGCTTCGCCGAGATTTTTAAGGGTTACTTACCCTATTACTTGCTTGTGGCTCTACCTATTTTTATCATAATGTCGCCTGTGAACCCGGTCGCTGCTTCTCATGAGTTTTCCGTGTACAGAATGCAACACTACGACTTACACACCGTTCCCCATGGTAAGTACGCATAGTTCAATATATTCCAACTTTCAAATCAAAAAATCGATTCCGACTTTGAGGTTATATTACTTTGGCTAGACTTTAGAGGCTGTTTATTTTATATTTGTCACCTTATGAGTGTTAATAAAAAAAATCCGGACAACCAATCTTGACAATGGCCATTCAAATTACTATGCGTGATTAGTACTTACTTAAATTACATTTTAATTAGCTCTTTCATAATTAACTTCTAACGTTTTTAGTACACTGAAAATGTATGATTAATTGTAAATAATACACGGTTTCAATATTATGTGTAGTATAAAAGTAGATTCTTAATTTAATTTAAACTTACAACTTAGCCACAAGACAATATTAATCTATAATTCTTACCTAAGGAAACAATTAGATTTTCCTTATTTGCCAACATGACTTGATAAAAGACATGGACGCTTTGTACACTATTAAAATTTCTCATTGAATATTTATTTATTAACCGCTTGAATGCCGGTATATGAGACACAATAGAAAATACATTGTGTCTTGTTGGATTCACATCTATACAAACAACGGGTTAAATCTATTTCATATTGATAAACCTACTTTATATTGATTTTAGTAACTAAAATGAAATAGAAGTTGTAATCCATGCCTATCATGAGCAATAACATTTGCAGTCTCTAACTATAATGACATATTAATTTAATCACAATTAAACAGTAACAAATTACCTAATTTTAACCGACTTCAATAAAAGAACATTTCTGTTTGACCTGTATGTATGTATGTTTATGCGCAATGGAATTGCAAATGGCTGAATGGATTTTTATGCGGTTTTCAGAAAAGTGTTTGTTTACACTTAGGGGAAGATTTTAGTATTAATTTATCAACTTCAAAAAAAGAGGGGATAGTCTTTTTTTTAATGTAGCTTATAAAAGTAGTATTCAATAAATCATTGTATTGTCGTTGACTTATTAGTTCATTATCATCTTTTTCAAACACAAAATGTGGTTAATATTTAATGGTGGATAAAAATTATGCATGATGCTCCTCCGTCTAACCTTATATCATTTTTATAATTATATTCTTATGCAGGATGCCGCAGTGCAAGCTTCAACTTGGAAGGTCGTTCCCTAACATCCTGGAGTACTTCTCGTCACTGCGTTGTCGCCAGGGTGCAGGATATCAGCATTGAACAGTTCATGGAGATCCGCAGCAAAGCTGGAGCCTTGCTGCTGGTGTTGCCCAAAAACGACACTGTTCTTACTGCTGAGGAAAAAGAGGTTGTTATTTATTATAACATAACATCACGGTTTTTGTCACCGGGGAGTAAGCAGAGGGGCACATTACGGCACTTAATGCAGCGGCATAAACGTGGTGTAACTAGTGAAAAGTGGGTGTTACAATATACAGTGGCATGAAGTGCTGACATACTTCACTGGCAAAGAATTTGTTCCAGATTAAGTTTTTTTTTATGGGATAAGCCGGTAAATGAGCAGACGGATCACCTGATGGTAAGCAACCAGCGTCGCCCTTGAACACCTGGAACATCAGAAGCGTTACAAGTGCGTTACCGGCCTTTTGGGATTAGGAATTTGAGGATTGTTGGGGATTCAGGGATCATCCGGTAACCTCACTCACATGACGAAATACAACACAACGTTGTTTCACGTCGGTCTTCTGTAAGGCCGTGGTATCACTCCGGTCGAGCTGGCCCATTCATGCCGAAGCATGGCTCTCCCACACTTTTTTTGATCAAAAAAGTGTGGGAGAGCCATGCTTCGGCATGTCACAAATACCAAGTCAAATCAAGTTTTACTGAAATAAAATATAAATGAAAGGGTCTTGCAAATATTTTACAATCATCATATTATCATTATTTGCAGCACATCCAACTCCTTGAAATGGCAATGATCCAGCAAGAAGTGAGTGCCCCAGTCTACTTTGCCCGCTGGTCTCCGGACTTCGAGGATATTCTCCGAGACCTGCAGCACAGCTTCATTACTGACGATAAGTCAGGAACAGCTCTGGAAGCTATGATGAACTCTGTGTCTTCAAACGGATATCAGATTGGTAAGGATTATTCATATAAATAAATATCATATCAATTTGTTTTTGGTAATAACCTCTTTTTTGACAGTTGTTTACCTATGACTGCCTCGTTGGCCGGGAGGTCGCAAGTGCGATCGCCGGACAAGGGGACTCGGTTTCGATTCCCAGGTCGAGCAAAGTATTACTGGGATTATTGATATATTTCCTAATAGTAGCATGGAGGCTGGAATTGTGCCCGGTATATGGCATTAGGCTCACCCCCTATTACTTGGGACTTATAACATAAATAAGTGGGCCCTACTTCAGAGATAAAAGGTGTGATGTTATGTGTGTTTTACCTACTTAATTAGTAGGTAACTACTTAGATGCTCATAAACAGGAGGATATAAAATAAACACTACAGAGCTGAGCCCACTGCCTAGTAGGTAACATTGGCCACAAATTTGAACTCCTTTCTGTTATTTAAAAATAATGATTGAACATCTTTACAAAAATAGATGTTATATTTTAAACATTAATGTTTCTGCTATATTATTAGAGAACATACAAACAGACACTTCATTATGTATCTAAATTTATTTGAGAATATACACAAACACCTATAAAAAACTACCAACTTTCCTTCAAAGATATGGAAAGATTTGTTTTTATTGCTATCTCCGTTGATATCTCGTCCTAAATCATAGAACAAACAAGAGATAACTGACTATCAGTGGAAAGTAACAGGGGTATTCTATTATTTGATTTAGGCTTTGTTATTATTGTCATGCATTAATTTTTGTCCGACAACCTTACTAGATGTATACTAAATAACAATTTTCATTGGAATAACTCATATATGTATAACATCATAACATCACGACGTTTACCCCCGAAGGGGTAGGCAGAGGTGCACATTACGGCACTTAATGCCACTACAATGTAACACCCACTTTTCACTATTTATGTTATGAGTCCCATGTAATAGGGGGTGAGCCTATTAACATCACGCCTTTTATCCCCGAAGGGGTAGGCAGAGGTGCACATTATGCCACTGTACAATGTAACACCCACTATTTACTATTTAAGTGATGGGTCTAAAAATGATTAAAGAACAAAATGTTAGAGTGGTCGCAAGTGCGACTGCCGGGCAAGGGGTCTTGGGTTCGATTCCTGGGTAGCACAAAGTATTACTGGGTTTTTTCAAAAAATCTCAGTAGTAGCACGGAGTCCGATAATGTGCCCGGTATATGGCAATAGGCTCACCCCCTATTACATGGGACTCATAACATAAATAGTGAAAAGTGGGTGTTACATTGTACAGTGGCATTAAGTGCCGAAATGTGCACCTCTGCCTACCCCTTCGGGGATAAAAAGCCATGATGTAATGTTAACAAAATGTTAACATTATTTGTTACTGCTTCCCATATCAGATTTGACAAGAACTTAAACCTAATAACTAAAATCGACTATTTTAATCCTCGTCTCAATCCACAGTGGTATCAGCCTCGACGCCCGCTAAGCTGGACTCCAAGCCAGTCACCCTACACGGCAAGTTGGTTGGTCGCTCAGGATCAGCACAAACTATCGTCATCGCCGCTCACTACGACTCCTCAGCTGCTGTTCCTGTAAGTAAACATACAAACACATAACATCACACCTTTTTATCCTCGAAGGGGTAGGCAGAGGTGCACATTATACCACTGTACAATGTAACACCCACTTTTCTCTATTTATGTTACTCATATATAGGACTCATCCTATATAATAGGGGGTGAGCCTATTGCCATATACCGGGCACAGTTCCAGACTCCGTGCTACTACTGAGAATTCCTGTTCCTGTAATTGTACTTGATATATATAAGTCAAAATAGTAACTGTAAAAAGTAATTGAAGTGTCGCAAGTAACAAATAAAGAAACGTCGACTTGTAGCCAGCGTGTATTGCGAACAGACGGTAACAATTCTGTAGGCTTATTTATACGTGATCTTACTTAAACAATTTTCTTATGTGGGTAAACCTAGATATATCACAGTAATCTATACATATAATAATATCGAAGAAAAGTCAAAATTCTATACTTTTTTACATTAATTAAATTACTACACACATACGACGTAATTTTTTTAAAAGAATACTTGTGGCGTGATCTGCATGAATATTACTAACAAGTCGAGTCAACATATAGGTTAATTATCACACTATCGCCTACGGGACTGAATCAATTCTGTCGACATTCATTACTGTAGAATATCCCTGGATAAAAGTAATTCAAAAGCTTAAATTCTGCCAGAAGTCATTATTCTACGCGGACGAAGTCGCGGGCAACAGCTAGTAAAAAGAATACACTAAGATGCCATTATATAAGTCGACGAAAAATACTTATTAAAGGTCCATTTAAAATGTGTGTTCAATTGGTTTGATTGTTTGAGTAGCGATTGTTTGGTCCGGCTGAAAATCAATTGTCAATTTGACCAGTAGGTCAGGGCAACTCTTTTATTACTGAATGACTGATAGATAGTTAAAATATATACAACCAAAATTCTATTGGAAACAAAATTAAATATATTTAACTCTCCAGTTTTAGTGTGATGTCTAAAAATTATCGACTGCACGGTTGGCGCGGTGTCTGGGTAGCCAGCTGCCGCGCAACGTGTGGTGGTTTCGATTCCCACATGGAGCAACTCTTTATGTGATCCACAAATTGTTTTTTCGGGTCTGGTTGTCATGTGTATGTGATATTGTATTTTTGTAAACGCACCCACGACACAGGAGAAAATCAAAGTGTGGGGGCGATGTTTTTTAAAAAAAAAAGAAATAAAATTTTTTAAGGACATTTAAAGAACAACTATTACTCCAGCACTCTAAATCAAATCAAATCATTTATTTTAGGTTGCAAACATGGGTTATGAAATATACAAAAGGTGTTTAATAGTTATATTATGGTTCTCCACATTTTGCCGCTATGGCATGCAAATAATGTACAATTACCTACAATTATCCTAATCAATTTATCTACAAGTTTAACTTACACAACCACATAATATACATTACCAATAAATTAAGAATTAAAATAATTATAATTATTGAATGTCAAGAAAGATGAAATTAAAGGTATCATTATTAATAAGTCAGTAAGTCATCATTAAGAAAGTCGTCAATATTATAATAGTATTTGTCAAGCAAAAGTTCTTTTAGCGTCTTTTTAAATTTCAATATAGTCATACTTTTTATAACATCTGGTACCTTATTGTAAATGCGAGGTGCAATACCAAAAAAAACTTTTCTTTACCAATGCAGTTTTACTAAGGTTCTTGTATACTTATTCAAAAAGAAATATTTGTGTTAGAAAATTCACCCGCGGTAGGAAACATTCTTTAAATACCTTCGTCCCAAAAGCACGTCATCTCATCTGATTAAAGCCGTATCGGCTGATTGTAGATCTGAGGAAAAAAAAATCTTCTTACTTCAACAGGAGCTCTCTCAAGGCGCAGACTCCAACGCATCAGGCGCGGTGGCAATACTAGAGCTGGCGCGTGTGTTCTCCCGCCTGTACAGTAACGCGGCGGTCAGGGGCGCCCCCTCGCTACTGTTCGTACTGACGTCCCTGGGACACTCACTCAACTACTTCTCAGCCAAGAAGTGGCTCGAGGAACAACTGGATTCTACTGATGCTGCGTTGTTGCAAGTAAGTTGTTGACAAACTGTACTTTGTATGGTAGTGTTAGGATTTCTAAACGTTGTTTACCATGTGTATTGGACTAGGTCATTAGTCTAATGTGACTACCGACCAAGAGCTCTTGGGTTTGTTTTCCGGATCAGACAAAATAGTGTTAGATTTTTTTTCAGTGTTTTGATCATTCTTAGTGATAACCAATATGATATTAAGCTCATCTCCCTCCATTACATGGGATTTATAGTGTTTTGATCATTCTTAGTGATAACCAATATGATATTAAGCTCATCTCCCTCCATTACATGGGATTTATAACATAACTATACTCGGAATTTTAATTCAATTCCAGATTTGACAATTTCAGTGTTGCAACGTTATGACAAGTACTAAATAGTGACGTTGCGAAATTATTCGATATGGGAATGCAATATTTCTGGATCGATTCTTCTCGTTTATAATTTTACTCTCGTGAACTACGTATATCAGGAAATTAAATATTTCTGAACCGGTAATTTAATTTTGAAGATTAATTAACGATCTGAGACTTTTCTTTTATAATTGTGTGTGAAATAAATAAAAAAATGTAATCAATGACAAATAAAACAGATAGATGTATTATGGTAATAATTTATTTTATAAATTGTCGCCGTCATCGCTATCGCTATCACTTTCTATAACATTTATTATAAAACACACACACTGATTGTTTATCGATTTTTGTGTCCATCACTACACTATTATATGTGGTATCATTATTTCACAAAATGACAGTAGCTAATGTCAAATCTGGAATCGAATTAAAATTCTGACTATAGTGAGAAGTGTTTGGGACATAATAATTTAATATGAGCACTTCTGCCAAAACCTTTGAAGAGTAAAAAGAATGGTACCTATTAATCTATAGAACTTTTATCAGGTCACCCTGTACTTTAGCACTAATTTCACATTCAAAATATCATTTAATTGTCTTCCCAGGATGTATCCTTCGTTATGTGCCTGGACTCGATATCCTCATCTCCTTCAATGACGATGCACGTGTCGAAGCCTCCCAAACCTGGCGGCGCGGCTCATTCTATCAAGTCACGGCTTGGAGTCAACATCAACCATAAGAAGATCAACCTGGCTGATGAGTTACTCGCCTGGCAACATGAGAGATTCAGTATTAGAAGGATGACTGCGTTCACACTAAGTTCCTTGCAGGTATGTTAAGAAAAAAAATAAACGTACCATCTCTGTGATTTAGTGCCCTCGCCCACGGAACCAGACTCAGTCGCGATGCAAACGCGATTCGGTCGCGATGCAGTTGTGATACAAAAATACCTTGGATTAGTACAGTTGAAAGATAGACTCCGTTGAGGCAACATTAGTCACGCTGTCTTTGGTGCTGCGTTTACGTAAGCAGCTGAAGCGTAGGCAACAGAAGCAGCGTCAATATTGGATGTCGTTCGACGCGGTCGCGCGTTGTATCAATACAATCGCGATGCAGTAGCACGTTAGTAGCGTGTTTGTATCGCGTTGCAAAGGTGGATAACACGCCTTAGAAGCGATAATAATAAATAATCTTTATTGTACACCAATTTGAGACAGTATATCCAGGAACAAATAAAGAAAATAGGGTACAAAGGCGGCCTTATCGCTAAAAGCGATATCTACCAGGCAACCTTTGGGTGGATAGAATACTATAGTAGGATATTAAATGAGGTAATTATAGCGATGCTGTCGCACATTTGTTAAACGCGCGACTGCATCGCTACAAAAAGTCGCCGGTGGGTGAGGACCCTTAAACTGTCAAACACCGCGAGGACGACCGGTGACCGCAACCTTATTCTTTAATTGTGTCAATAATGACGGTACTCAAAGAGTTAACAAAGAATTTAAGTTAAGCAGGACTTACAATTGAGTAACCTTTCAGTATTTGGGTGTAAAACTTGTAAAATTCTTCAGAAACTTGTATCATAGAAGTCTGTGTACGTCAGTTGCGGCACCGGTGTCGGATTGAGCAGTGGCTGACGCCCAAATTGTTACAGTTTCTATCTGTAATTTTAAAATCACATTTTTAAATATCATCTAGACGTTTTGAATAAAGACAATCGTCACCTGGTTATGATGTGGGATTAAACGTCAGCTGCAGGGGCTTCGGCTCGAAGTGCAGGGCTGTTAGTTAGTAAGAGTCTGACACTCCCTTCCGCCTCACCCAGGTGGGAAAAGTCATTGGATGATTTGTCAGCTGCCCACATGAATATGAAAAGTCTATTTTATATTAACATAACTAGCTTTTACCCGCGGCTTCGCTCGCGTCACAAAAGGATAAAAAGCCAATGTGACATATACCAATACACACAGCGTCATCTATACTAATATTTTTGTTTTCCCTCGGGAATATCAAATTTTTCAGGGATAATAAGTACCTTATTATTTAATCCGGACTTCTAACTTTACATCTGCAAAATTTCAAAGCAATCGATTTAGTAGTTACGGCGTTAAAGTGGAACAAACAAACAAATAAAAAAATTATTATTAAAAAAACAAAATACCCGACTGCACACTAAAAAAAGAGTAAAACAAGCCCCACAATAATATTGATCAATCAAATGCTAAAAACTAATTATGTAATACCGTTTAAACAATACCTATATTAAAATACACTACAATATGTGTTCGTAATCGATAGTTAAATAAACAGAAACTTATTTTGAATACAAATTTACTGAATATAATTTATAAATGTTGATGGAATGCATCGCAGGCGGGGACCAACAGAGGCTTATTTATAGTCATTTCGGTTGTGCACCATTTAGCAGAATTTTCGTTGGTGGCGGTCAAGGTGGTCCCCGCCTGCGATGCTTTCCATCAACATTTATAAATTATATTCAGTAAATTTGTATTCAAAATAAGTTTCTGTTTATTTAACTATCGATTACGAACACATATTGTAGTGTATTTTAATATAGGTATTGTTTAAACGGTATTACATAATTAGTTTTTAGCATTTGATTGATCAATATTATTGTGGGGCTTGTTTTACTCTTTTTTTATTTAGTGTGCAGTCGGGTATTTTGTTTTTTTAATAATAATTTTTTTATTTATAACTTTTTAGCTGTTTTTATTTAACGAAAATGTTGTAGATGTAGAAGACTATCGTCAACGACGTGTGCCCTCATGCGTGTGCCCGCAATCGGGCTGTATACTCGAGCATATCCCCCTCCGCACCGCGCCGCGCGCCGCATGCCAGGCCACGCCCTATCTTTTTGCTTGCTAACGCATGAGTTGCTTTGCGTTGACGCAGAATTAACATGTTCCCGTGGGAATTTTGAGAAAAAACGTATCCTATATTAATTACTCCCGTGATTGAAATGAATCTAATGATACCGCATACATATTTTTTTAAAGGGAAATTTAGAAAAAATATTATTATGTCTTTATCCCGTGGGACTTTTAGGATAAAATGTATCCTATGACACTCCCGTAATCAAGACAAATCTAACGATACCTCATACATCAAAATCCATCAAGCCGTTTAGGCTACAGGTGGTCACAAAGGAAAAGACATACATACATACTTACATACACTCGAAAAACATTACCCTCCTTCTTTGGCAGTCGGGTAAAAAACTCACTTTCCGATTTATAAGTAAGGAAAGTAAGGATAACATAACGCCTTTATTTTTTATTTTATATTAATAAGGTGTAATTCCCCCACAGACCCACAAGGACCCAGCCCGCAGCACGCTACTAGACAGTCCGTCGGAGAGTGCCATCAAGAACCTCGCCGACAACATCGCGCTCACGGCCCGCGCACTCGCCTCGCACATATACAACCTCACTGATGAACTCAACCAGGACGACGCTGACCTGTATAATGATGCTTTGGTAAGTTAAACCGTTGAAATTCATCCCCTAAATTTGTTCATACAAAAGTAGTCTCTAAGCATTGGAAATAAAGTCTATAATGTAGTTAGTGGAAAGCGGTCACCGGTGACCGCTTGGAGATGTATGGGTTAACACTATAATATTCCCCTAGTCTATATATGCGTACAAGCGTGCGGCGCCGAGCGTTCCGCGCGCCTTAAAGAGCCATCAGACCACCACGGATGGGGCCCAATAGGGCTGATGCCGATACGGAGCCGCGGAAAACTTAACGGGTTACCGGAGCTCCGGCTCGACGTGCTGGAGAAAGAACGGGGTGGTTTTTAGTCAGCAAGAGTCTGACACTCCCTCCCGCCTCACCCAGGCAGGAGAAGTTATTGGATGATTTTCCCCCTTTAAAAAATGTAATTGGCTCAATGTTACTATTCTTCTGCTAAATTTGTGTAATGTGTCTGTTGATTCACCATAAAATAAATAAATAAATAAAGGAGTTTTCCATAATCACAATCTCAGTCTCAATATTCAGACTGCCAACAGACAACTTCAAATATGTTCTTTTCCTTCAGTGTTAAAAATGTTATTTGCAGAAACCATTCTTATTATTTTAAAAACGCCAGGTTAAGCATTCTTCTTTTTGGTACTTTCCCTATTAACGTCGATGCGAACGAATTTTATCCATTAGTTTTAGTTTATTTTATGTTCTATACCTACAATGTTTATTTCTTTCCATATTTTTATATATCTTTTAAATAAATAAATTTGATTCTTCTGCTATATATCTTAGAGTTGATATTATTTGATAACAAGAATCATCCTGATCTATATTAATGATAATTCTAGCAAAATTGCAAAAGTTTTGCTAAAATTACCATTAAGCGTAGGGACAACATAATCTATTCTTACTGCCAGTTACTGTTCTGAACTACCCGTAATACAGTATAAAACTATATTAAACTAATTTGTGACTTCTATTGTTTAAGGGAGTGGACGAGGCGGCAATTAGACATTGGTACACTTACTTATCCTCACAACCGAGAGCACCTCAGATTGTCACCACAACACCTCCTAATACAGGTATTAATATTATTTCATTTTTTGATGAAACCTATCATGGCTGCCTTATTATCGAAAGCGATTACGAAGTACTAGATCTTAGACTCAGTCACCACACGTCGGAAAAATTAATATAAAACTTGATTGAAATATACTATTTATTCACGTAGATCATCAATAAGAGCTTTGTCGAATATTTCTCAGTAATATTATGGAGTATGGAATGGAGCCTATCGTATTTTTGCTCACCAGTCGCTAGTGTGAACCTCTAGGAGTTATCTGGTGTCACCATTGGACGTTCAATATTTGACAGCTAACTGTCATTGGATGAAAAAACTATGTATATCTTATATTTGCGCCGTTTGCTAAGCAACAAAACGTTAGCCCCTATTGTACGGGTCACCTGATGGTAAGCAATCGGCGTCGCTCACGAACACGTGAAACGCCAGAGGCGTTACAAGTGCGTTACCGGCCTTTTGAGGATTAGGAGTTTGAGGATTGTTGGAGATTTAGAAATTAAAGAGATTGCTGAAGGGGAGGTAATTAGGCCTCCGGTAACCTCTCTCACGCGACGAAACACAACGCAAGCGTTGCTTCACGTCGGTTTTCTGTGAGGCCGTGGTATCACTCCGGTCGAGCTGACAATGTAACGTTATTCCCTTTTCCCGTAGGAGTGACCGGCGCCCTAGAGCGAGCCCTGTCTCGCTACATGGAGGTCACAGTCAGCACTCACGCGGTGGACAAGAGGGAACCAGAGTACACGCTGTACGGACCTACTAGGGCGTCGCTCTATGTGTATAGGTGAGTTTTAATTATGTATAGCTACTTGATCTAATAACTATAAGTCGTGAAAACAGTTTGGTATACTCCTTCTTAATCCCCGTTTATGAGAAATCCATATTTGTTCATACAATAGTAGTCTCTAAACATCGGAAATAAGGTCTATAATGGAGTAAGTGGAGGGCTGTCACTGGTGACCGGTTAGAGACTGGGCAGCTAGGGAGCAGTTAATAGATTTTACTTAATATTACTGCTATAACTCTAAGCTATTGGCATTTAAGCTAGTCGACCGAGGCAATTGATAACTAAATGTATAAGCTTGACGTTTTGACATAATATGTCAGTGTCAATGCCAAATATTTGCCTCGTTATTGCCATTAAATATAGTAAGTAATTTGAAAAACGGTACAATTTTCTTGCCCACATCCCCGTTTTTGAACCCCCAACAAGAAAAACAAAAGTAATCAATACTCAACTTAAAAACCACCTTACCAAAGTTCAAAATCATCTAACTAAACATATTTTTTCACAGTGTAAAACCAGCCGTCTTCGATCTAATACTTACGTTAGCAATAGTGGCGTACCTAACTATAGTCTACTTCGCTATCCAATTGTTCCCGCGATTCTACGAAGAATACGCGAAAATAGTTACAGGTAAGTCCAAAGTACACTAGCTTCTTCCCAAGTGGTGTGGAGAATGTTCCAGAAGAATCCAATATGGCTGCGCTAATATTATGTGTAGGTGACACTCGCTAGATGTAGTTTACGTGTTCATTACGAATGTATTTTAATAAATATGAGCGTTGGTTTGTATTGTTAGATGTTTTTTTTCAAAATAGAGGAATGCTCTACTAGTCTCGAGGCAAACCGGGACTCATATTCATGGGTTACGTGATTCCGGACTCGCTATTGTAATGAGGTTAAAAATGTAACTAGAGTCTGTCTGTTTAAAACATGATATTACTTTAATATAAAAAATACAGACAAATATAAATAATAAAAAGATATTATAACTGTTTACATAAAATATCTAACAATATAAGCCAACAAATAAAAGGATCGGTTGTACACAAAAGAGATAATGAATTGTTAATACAGTTTGATGCATTTATTTTAAAAATAGTTGCAAATCTATACATTTTAATAGCATAGCTATTTGTCCTAAAGACTCATTGAAGTGCAAATTGTTCTAGCGTTATTATAAGGTTAAATAAATACAGTTAAAACTACGTACTACACACAGGGAAAATGAATGCCTCTACTTTTCTTGCAATATTTATTGTGTGGGGTCAATTTTAAATCAGTTAACCTCTCAACTGATTGATATAAAATTTTGCATACATATTTAACATGAATGCATGATTAACCAAGTGACGTCACTCTAAAGCCAAGATAGGGCGGACTACGTTATTTGTGCACTCAAATCTCGAACTAAAAACTCAAACAACAGGGTTCAATTTCTCTTGTTGTGGTACGTAGTAACTTAATTCGGACTTCATTTCCACACCACGAAGTCAATCTTAGTGCATAAGTGTTGAACAATTTGATTTACATATTAAAGCGTAAGTTTTCACAAATAATTTATGGAGAAAAAAATAGAGAATGGAATAATTTTTCATATGATACCTAATTGTTTATTTATGATGATACAGATAGCTATATTGGTGTGTTTTTGTTCATTCTCTTAACTTTACTGTTGCTATCTTTGTCTGTAGTGTGTAATTAGAACAGGACAGGGGAATACTTTGACAGCTGTCAAAGTCCCTCGTCTCGTAAATCGAAGCACGTTCTGTCCTTTTCCAAAGTTCTATGTGTGACTGAGATAGCAATATACAAGTTAAGACTATGAACAATCAGACACATTTGTTATTTGATGGAGAACTAAATTTTTGTCAGTGAACACAATGTTACCTATTTAGATTAAGTAATGGCGATAAAATATGAAATTTAAACATTCTATTGAGTTCGTCAGTTAGATTATGAGGACATGTTAGACACATTTGTTTTTATTTCGTCGAGAATTGATAGAAATATTCAAAGTTTTTATTCAAATTCAAACTCAAGATTTGATTCCTAAAAAAGAAAAAATAAGTGTTCAATATTTTTTCATTACGACGAACATCAAAAACAGTTTTAGCCGTCATTCCTAATATTTCATTTCTTATTTGTTATCCCTGTATGAAATAATCTGTGAAAACGAATGTAGATAAGATCGCAATTTGACTGACAATTTCGCCGTCGATGAAAATATTAAAGCTGTATTTATTCAAGCTACCAAGCTTATATTATCTTTCATTATCCCTATATTCGTTTATTTTTAAAATAAAGTCGTTTTCAGCTTGCTTGTGTTAGTAATTATTTGAATCGACGGCGATAAATTTAGTTCTTTCATTTTCCAAAGGCGTTATCAATGTGTTGTGATTATAGCCTATTTACTTTAAAACTAAATACACGGTATTATGTCCAGAATGCGGCAATAACGCTGCAATTTTAAGTGAAACATGTGAATTTATTCTTACAAATAGCAACAAAGCGGCAATTGGTGTTACATTGTACATCTAAATCTCTGGTCACTCCTTTGAAGATTAAAATGTATGATGTTATATTATATACGATTTAATATAATGTCTGCCTACCTCTTTATGGAATAACCATGATCAAGCTGAACCCATCAAGCTGCTCTGTACAGACTCTTTAATTGGTTGTCAACTTTAAGTCAAGACAATAAAGTTGATAATATGTTTAAGATTTTGATGGGTAGAATTTTTTTTATCTGTGATCACAACACAATGTTAGCGCCATAATGAAATAAAGAGTATTTTTACAATAGAGCCGTGAACCAAGGAGTTTATATATCGTACATAGAATAAGAACGAAAGCAATACATATTTCCAAGTTTATAATAAATAAATTAAGAAAAATATTATTGTGAAAAAAAAGTAATAATTTATTGAAAAAAGTGCGTATTTATCTCAGCTAAGTAAAGTATTATTTTCATTCGAAAATGTCCATTTAGATGCCAAAATTAATATAATTTTAATTTATTGTTTTCTTTTGCATTTGTAGGATTGGTTATGAAATTATAATTATGATTTGGGTTCTGTTAATGTGCTAAAATATCTTTTTAATGGTTAAAAGTCAGTTTTAACGTCTCTGAATATCCACCAGATAAAGTTTAAAATGAATCTAAATTAGTATCTAAAAGCTCCAAGCATATTCGACTTTGTTACCAAACTATGAAGTTGAAATTGATATAAACAATAACTGAATATTAATATACCTATCATCTATTAACTAAAATATCAAAGACTTATCAGAGACTTTAGAAACTGTCTTTTAATAAATGTATATCTGTTACATACATTTGTATGTATGGTCAGTAATTTTACCATTTTGTCAAAATTTTGTTAAACAATTTGTTTTTTTTAAATAGAATATAGATGCCTTTATTCATATAAAACTGTGGTTTGGTTGACCGTCCTTCAAACATGTTCCTTATGTAATATTTCTGCTACAATCACCCTTCACATTTATTTCACTTGGTGTCTAATTCCGTAAACATAGAACAGAAAATTACAGAAAGAATACTCCAAAATCTATGAATTAAAAACTAATGAGGGCTAAAGAGTTTCTACTAAGCAGATGGCGCTGTTGGTTGTCTAATCACGGTGGCTGTCAAAATTTTAATATCCAATGGCTGCATTTAAGCAAATACTTTATTGGATAACAAATGTTACCCTACCCTAGCGATCCTGGCGGTAGCCCTCATTCTGTGACTGTTTATCAGTCAATTTGTATGATCTCAATTATGTTTGTATTCTGTAATGTTCTTCAAGGTTTTATTTTGAATACCTGGCACCAAGGTGGCGATTTCCCTGTGATGCTGAGTCATACACAATTATATGCTTATGAGCATTACTATTTCAAGCTTAAAGAACCTAAAGAGTTACCGGGGCTCCGGCTCGAAGTGCAGGAGTAGGAACGGGGTGGTTTTTAGTCAGTAAGAGTCTGACACTCCTTCCCGCCTCACCCAGACGGGAGAAGTCATTCGATTATTTTCACCCCTTAAAAACAATGGTATACCCATTGGACTGTTGTCAGTGGTTTTGTACATAAGCTAGAATTTTTTATAGATGGCTATTCAATCTCCACTTAACTCGTCGAGTACCGGTTTTATAGACACAATTAAAGAACAATAGGTCGCGGTCACCGGTGACCGCATGGTGTTTGACAGTTTAAAGCTTGTCGATTATTAGCTAGACTGAATTAAATAATTAAAAATCTCCTGTCAGACTGACATCACAGGAGAATCGCTAAACCGATTAACAATGTGATAAAAATATATTGTTTTTGTGTATGGCAATGTTGTGTTTTCCAATTAGTTTTACCAAGTAGGCTAAGGTTTCATATCCTATGGTTTTGGGTGCATCTAATTTGATTGTTCTAGGTATAGAGGAGGGCAAACTTTATTAAATCATATTTTTAATTCGAAATGACCAACATTTGTGGTTTGTTTTGCGGTTTAAATGAATTATGTTTGTGATAATTTTTATTATTACGATAAGAATTTGGTGAGTGTTTCTGGTGATTATTTCAGATTATTGAATTAATGTAATTTTAAATTTCGATATTATACAAATTCAACTTTTTTGGTGCTTTTGAAGTTACTTTGACTTTTAAAATTGTTTTAATGAATTCTGAGAGATAATTTATTTATTACTCACATCAAAGTGCTGTTTGCACTTATAGTTTTAATTATATTTTACAAGATAAAATAACAACGATTAAGCAAAGGGTACATTAGAAGACAAAATGTCCCAGGACATGTATCGGCGACATGTTCGAGCTAAGCCGGCGGATGTCGATTAATATTGATATAAGGCGATAACTTACGACTTATGTCCACAGCGACGTTAATGTTGCCAGATCTGTCGAGTGTTCGACAACGTCGCTCTACTTCACCCAACGTCGCTGGCGATGCTTGTCGCAAGATATTTGTCCTCTAGTTTATCATTGGCTTTAGAAGCTAGAAACGTATTGTATTGTATTCTACGTACATTCAATTTTGTGCTATGTTGCCAGCTTTGAAATATTAATAAGCATATTGGTTCTTTTTTAACCCTATGAGTACCGTCATTATAGACACAATTAAACTGTCAAACACCAAGCGGTCACCGGTGACCGCAACCTATTGTTCTTTAATTGTGCCTATAATGACGGTACTCAACGAGTTAAAGAACATATCGACGGTTAAGAATCAATTGTGTCTATCTCACAAAAGTCAACTTTACAGTAGATAAAAAAAATATTTCTTTGCTTGAAATAATAAGTTACTAGAAAGGTGAAAATTGATAAAAATAGTAAATAAATGCTGGAAAAAGATAGGTAAACTTAGATTGTTTTCATATTCTTATATACCAAGATACCATGAGTTAGATAGTATTGGTTAAAGTACAAAATGCAAAAAATTGAGATAGACATTATTGATTCTTAACCGTCGATATGGTTGCGGTCACCGGTGTCCTACACCACAGCTAATGACGGTACTCATAGGTTTAAATTGCAAAGTTTGCCCACTCTGTACCTGTTTCAAATTATAAGTGGATAGTTTCGAACAAATTGTCAGACTTGTGTTTGTAAGAGAAAGTGGAGCTGCATGGAATTGAATAAAATTTTGTTTTAAAATGTCATGTTTTTTTTACTCCTTATGCTGATAAAATTATAATCGACTGCACGGTTGCGGGGTGGCTGGGCAACTGGCTGCCACGCAACTTGTCGCGTGTTTTATTCCCCCACGGAACAATTCTTTGTGTGATCCACAGATTGTTGTTCCGGGTCTGGGTGTCATGTGTGTGTGAACTTGTATGTTTGTAAACGCATACACGACACAGGAGAAAATACTAGTGTGGGGCAACGGTTTTAAAAAAAGAAAAAAACGTCGCTCTTGTAAATTAACACATTTTCAAGCTTATCATTTTGTTATAAAGTTAAAAATCTATTAATTAGAACCGTACTATTTTTATTAAAGACATTTTTTTAATGTTAGGCCAGGATATAAATAACACCCAAGAATATACTTATAAAACTTTTATTACTTTTTATATAATAAAATATTAATTGTAACTTGCAATATTTATGCATTTAGCGGGACTATGTCCCCAATGTATATGTATACATAATACGAAAATCTATATCTGAAATTACTTGCAAATTATTGTACAAATATAATTATTATAAAGCTAATAAACTTAAAAATGTCAGCCACACTATGGCACATTTTGAATATAAAAAAATATTTTTTTGATATGGCTTCGATTCCATTTAATTATTACTCTTAAAAACTAAATGTACTGATCCTTGGCGCTGCCTTCTTAATATATGTCTTCTAACAATAATAAAAAAATAATCTTAAAAGTTATTACATTGGCACATACGACTCACACAAACTACGAAAAAAAATGCTTAAATTTTATTATTTCCTACGTATTTTTGAAGACAAAAAAATTAATTAAAATCTTAAATAAACATGACTAAAATATACTCGTAAAAATTTAGAATAGTACAAAAAATAATGTAACGTAAAATATTCCTTAAAGTCTCTACAATAAGGTGTTTTATGCTTCGTACACTTCGGCTGTTGCTGCTCCGTTGATATCCTTCAGCTCAGCTGACTTGAAAGTCGCCACGAAGTTGATACTGCCGAGTTTCTGTTTGGGAAAATAATTTATTATCTATGGTGAAATTGAAATTACCATTGGATTAGACAAATATTTAACATCAAATGGTTAGTTAATGAATAGGTTCGGAGTAGGGTAGATTACTAATTTTTATTTTAATGTCCATCTGGTAGGTTATTTTAAAACATTAGACACGTATTTAAAAAATTTTCGTTTTTGTAAAAACTTTTTACTTTTATTGATTTGAAATTTCGCGTGACGTCACTTCTATGTACATTTTATACGTAGAAATGACGTTTTTGCCCCATTCCTAAACTTTGATTCGTTTTATCTAAGTATCATTTTATTATACACCAAAATAAATACGTGTCGAATATGTTTTTATTACCTAACTGACGGACTAATTAGATTTTTGTTGGGTAGGTATTTCATTATTTTTCAATAATTAATACCTGTTGAATATTTTAATTTAAAAAACCCTCAGTATGGGTTTGCTATCTGCAATGTCTTTACCGTAATATTCTGTTAACTTTTTCATAGACCTTTTTTCTAGAAAAAAATATTTTAACCCTTAGAGCGCCACGTCAGTCACCGGTGCCTGACGCTAGTGGAGGTTTGACTTTCACCATTTTAAACTTGGCAGTTAAAGTATTAACTAACAAAAAAACTAATCTACAATGAATAACAAGTTACCTTAGGCAATATAGGTATCTCCACGGTGATTGGTTCCTTAGCCGCAGCGTCAGAAGCCTGTAGCTTCAGAGTGCGACCTTCAATTCCTGATGAAGACAGCCTGAACTCACACCCAGTCAGGCCACGGTCCAGGGGATTTGTGAATGAGAGGACTGCTGTTGCCGGCTGATTCAGGATTAAGTCTTCGTTAAACTGAAAGGTAAGATTAAAAATTATTATCATTATCTACATGTCACTGTGACTGCCTCGTTGACGAGTGGTCGCAACTGCGATTGCCGGGCAAAGGGTCTCAGGACCGATTCACGGGTGGGGCAAAGTATTACTGGTATTTTTTTTTAAATCTCGGTAGTAGCACGGAGCCTAGAATTGTGCCTGGTATATGGCAATAAGCTCACCTATTAAATGGGACTCATAACATAAATAGTGAAAAGTGGGTGTTACATTGTACAGTGGCATTAAGAGCCGTAATATGCACCTATGCATACCCCTTCGGGGATAAAAGGCGTGACGTTGTGTTATCTACATGTTATAAAAGAATAGCATTTTCGGGTCATCTGTTTGTTTCTATTAACACGATAAACGCATTTTTAGCAATTGGTCTACCTAATTCCTCAAGAAAGTTTAGCGTAATGGTTTTGATCACGTAGGCATAGCCAAAGATGGTAAGACCTCGATTCCCCTAAACTAGGTGTTCTGAACCGAAAAAATGATTGTGCATTTTGGAGTACCTAACTCTTTAACATTTAACCTCCACTCACCTTAATGTTAATATTGGGCTTAATAATCTGGAAGTCGTCCTCCTCTGCCCAGGATTGCTTGGTCTCCATCACGATAGCCATCGCAGAGATCTTCATGTTCTCATATTCCACTAACTTTGGCAGATAGTCATCTGATTTCACTGACAGCATGATCTGGTCCTCTGTACAAAAAACAAATATTAGACCAGATATTTCATAGGGATATTATAAGATTCCTATTTCCTTGACTGCAAATCCTACTAACCTTGACTGATTCGGTTTCGAATTTCGTAACTGACTGACTGAAGACCTTACTTCGGGTATAGAAAGAGTCATCTTGGAAACTACTTTGACAGAATTAATGGGTCAGGTTTATCGGAGAGCGTCTGAACCCTTTAATTGTACTATATCTGTCCCGTCTTCCAAGTACTGAGGTTATGGCAAAACCTCTAACGTGAAGAATAGCCCATATAATTGTACTATATCTGTCCCGTCTTCCAAGTACTGAGGTTATGGCAAAACCTCTAACGTGAAGAATAGCCCATATTCTAGCAGCGGGGTGTCTTTTTGAGGGGGAAAATCATCCTATGTCTTCTTCCGTCCCGTGAGGCAATAGGAAGTGATAGACTCTGACTTTTTTTAAAGGGGGAAAATCATCGAATGACTGCTCCCGCCTGGGTGAGGCAGGAGGGAGTGTCAGACTCTTACTGACTAAAAACCACCCCGTTCCTACTCCTGCACTTTGAGCCCGAGCCCCGGCAACCCGTTAAGTCTTCCGCGGCTCCGTAGCAGCGGGGTGTCTGGGACAGTTAGTCAGATGAAGTGAGATTTTGATACACTTACTTTTGCCAGCACTGATAAACATATGCCCTTCAGCCTTCTTAATGACTCCAGCTCTCACTCCGTTGTAGTATACGCTGTTTGCTGTCAGAGACGCCTTTATGTTACGACCCTAGAAAAGAAAAAAAATGGTCTTTATATCACAATTGTCGTAATATCAAAAATGTTTGTATAAATGGAAACTGGAACCGGAATATAACTGCGATGTTATTAACCACTGTCTTGCAAGAACACAATGTAGATATAGGTATGTTCCCCTTTTTTTAGAGCAGATGTATAATTCAGCAGCCACGGATTGTTGATGATAAAAAAACTGCAAGGTTTGTACAAAATTGATGAAGGCTTTCTTGAAATGGAGTGTTTGTATTCTTACCTCATCAGAAGTATTCTCAATTTCCACGATGACCTTGAAGTCCTGACCAATGGGCACCGTGTCCACGTCACATAGTTTGAAATTGATGTCATTCTTCATACTGCTGGCTACCGAGTAATATCTGTCGAAAAAGTTATTCATTAATATCCTATAATTCTTTTAAGGATGACTGGAACTTTTCCATTATGAGACGTCAATTGAGTAATCTGGAGTTAGCTATATCTTTGGTCAATCTTACCTCTTGGCTCTCTCAGAGAACCGAACTCCGTTCATGAGGGCGAGTCGCTCGGAGGCAGTTCCCTCTCTGAACTTGTACTGGTCAATGATGTCCTCTCTGTCCTCGTCACCGTTGGGGTCAAACACGTACGGTTTCTTTGTGAGGATCATGCGACCAATGCTGAACAGAATAAGATATGTAGGTAAGTAGTATGTAGGTAATTTAAGCGCAAACCACAATTTATCAAGACAATAACAAAAAAACTTACTGGTAAGTATTGCTGCCGACCATAGCGAAACCAGTTTCCAAGTTAGGATCGATCCTCCACTTCATCAGGTCAGCGTTAACTGAAGCCAGCATGAATTCTACATCGTAGTTCATTCCTATGGCTCCTTGCTTGATGGCTTCTAGCGGAGCTGGGCCGCACTGATACATTCCTCGTGAGGTCTCCTGAGGAGTAGCATCGATAGCTTGCCAGCCTCCATAACCTGGTGAGAGATGGGTAATTAGTGCCTGGAGATGTCCCCATTTTCGGTTTCAAACTTTGTGGCTACATGTCTGGTTCCAAATTATGCCGGGGTCTACGTTTCGCAATAGTGCTGTCCTTTTCTACAATAGGACTGCCATATAACTAAACTACCGAAAATGAAGTTTCTAAGAAATAAATGTAGTTTTACTTACCAGCAGGCAGATCGGGCCTGGACATCCAGACATCGTTCCAGACGTGGTAGTTCCAGATGGAGTCTGTCTGTTCTGGCTCAGCGTTGCTAGGATCGTAACCCAGCTCCTCCATAGTTTCCGAGAAGTATTTGTCCACAGTCAGGGTGCTGTTGGCATCGTGAGCTGATACTAAGTTGGAGACTACTCGAGATGGGATACCGAGGGCACGGCAAACTGGAATAGAAGATGGTGAAATATGAGACTTTTAATATATGTCCTTTGATTAAGACCTTTGTGTTGACTGCACGGTGCAGTGGCTGCGTGTAGCGGGTTTGATTCCCGCACGGAGCAACTCCTTGTGTGATCCACAAATTGTTGTTTCGCGTCGGGTGTCATGTGTATGTGAACTTGTATGTTTGTAAACGAACCCATGACACAGGAGTAAAATCTAGTGCGGGGCAATGTTTTAAAAAAAGAAAGTATTGTAGTGGATAAGTAATTCTTCTTGATGATGATTATATGTGATACAAGGGAGCATCAAATTCATAATGAAGCTCGTTATGCAATTTCTAGATAACATCAATACGGTGTATTTCCCAAACGCGTAATTGTCGTAAATTCCCCAAGAGTTTGTTATTTTTAAACCATTTATCAAGTTAATGGGAGTCAGATAACCTTCCTATCGGGATGAGCTATCACTTTTTAATTTATGTGTTTCTGGTTACTGAACTTAGGTTTCAACTTAATCATTATGTTAGTGCATTTGTGTCAATCACACTAATATTAAAAGTACTGAACGGAATTTGATGAAATTTGGTACCTATATAGGTAGGGTATGGGCTGACTTAGGTGATAGGATATATTTTAACCCGATTAGATGCTCCTATGGGATAAAATAGGAATCATATTCCAGTACAAACCCTGTAAGCGCGGGCCTGCGGACGGCGAGCATGGGTGGCTCACCGTCCAAACAGAACCAGACCCGAGCGTACGGCGCGTCGCGTTCCGCGCGCGCCTCAAAGAGCCATCGGACCACCACGGATGGGGCCCAAAAGGGCTGATGCCGACTCGGAGTCGCGGAGAATCTAAGGGTTACCGGGGCTCCGGCTCGAAGCGCAGGAGAAGGAACGGGGTGGTTTTTAGTCAGTAAGAGTCTTACATTCCCTCCCAATTATATTATTATATCCTCCCAATTACAATTGTATTTCCAAACGCGTAATTGAGGTCAAGTCCCCAAGAAATTCATGATTAATATTAAGATAGGGGTTTGTTCCAAGGAACAGTTTGTTATTTTTAAAACATTTATCAAGTGAATGGGAGTCAGATAACCTTTTTATCGGAATGACTTTTTAATTTATCTGCTTTTTGTTACTGAACTTAGGTTTCACCTTCACCTATCATTCTTTTAGTGCATTTGTGGCAATCAATACAATTTAAGTGTGGGAGAGCCATGCTTCGGCACGAATGGGCCGGTTCGACCGGAGTGATACCACGGCGTCACAGAAAACCGACGTGAAGCAACGCTTGCGTTGTGTATTGTCGTGTGAGTGAGGTTACCGGAGGCCCAATTACCCTCCCCTTCCCCAATCTCCCCAGTTCCTGAACCCCCAACGATCCTCAAACTCTTAAGCCCAAAAGGCCGGTATCGCGCTTGAAATACCTTTGGTGTTCCAGGTGTCCATGGGCGACGCCGATTGCTTACCATCAGGTGATCCGTCTGCTCGTTTACCGGCTTACGCGATAAAAAAATAAACACACTACATTTCCTACTTCAACAACTCAGAGGTCTGTCTCTTTTAAAGTCCAGACAATATGCATAACAGATTATGTGTGAGAACCGTGCCAGTTCCTTCTGTAGTGGCCTTTTGAGGAAAGAACCACAACAGTTTGAGGTATCCCAAAGGCATCTGAACACTCACCAGTAGTAACAACACCAGCGAAGACCCAGCACTGTCCATAAGACACAGGTTCCTGTGTCTCCAAGAACTGCGCCAGGATGTCCACAGAGCCAGTCCACTCGGATGGAGCAGTTCCATCATCATACGCTCCATCCCAACGCCCCACTAGTACACCACCATCGTCGTTGGAGTTCACAATACGGGAGATGGCTCGGCTCACCTTTACTGGGTCGCCACGACTAGAAAGAAAAAAACATATAGAGTTAACTACCTCATCAAAAAGTTATGTGGATGAGACGTACCTAAAACATCTATCTATACATATAATAAACTAGCTACTTCCGAACGGTTTCACACGCTCTGCTCAGCTCCTATTGGTCGTAACGTGACGTTTTAGCTTATAGCCTTCCTCGATAAATGCGCTATCTAACACAAAAAGAATTATTAAAATCAGACTTGTAGTTCCGAAGATTAGCGCGTTCAAACAAAAAAATAATAAACAAACTCTTCAGCTTTATAATATTAGTATAGATTCGTAGGAAAGTGAAAACTGTACATTGAATATTTTATTAAAACATGATGATGACACACCCTATGATTTAATCTGGACTTGTAACTTTACGTCTGCAAAATTTCAAAGCAATTGATTTAGTAGTTACGGCGTGAAAGCGGAACAAACAAACACACTACTTTCCGATTTATAATATTAGTAAGGATGCTAATCGACAATCGATACCGAAACCAAAAATATGGATTTTAGAATGTTTGTCTGTTTGTCTGTATGCATGTCTGGGTTAAATTCAAAAAGTACTGCATGGATTTACTGACTGTAAAAATTTGTATGAATATTACTAACAGGTCGGTTAGATAGTCCGATAGATAGTCCGATTTTATTAAGAAATCTGATTAATATTTTAAAATCATCACGTCATCCTTATCAACAGTTACATTGAAATTGCGAACTAAACACGAACTATGTACATACATTGGGAATTACTTCTTAGTAATTTCAAAAACAATAGGAAAAGTCATTGAGAAAACAGGCTATATGTAAGAGGGTCCTTATGTTTGTTTTATTTTTTACACACGGCTACACATTGAGCTTTACATAACCAGTATAAACTGAACGTTAAATGTGCGGAAAGATGATGCGACGCGATACCAGGATAAACTGGTTTTGTATAGATTGATGTGTGGCCGTGTGTACCTAACAGATCTAAATTGACATCATGCGTTTCCATATGCATGTTGCGTTTGCTAGCTGGATCCAGTCACGTTTGATGATGCTATCACAATAGCCTTCAGAAATACAGATTGTATTTTAAGGAAATTATATATATTTATACACACATAACATAACATCACGCCTTTTATCCCTGAAGGGGTAGGCAGAGGTGCACATTATACCACTGTACAATGTAACACCCACTTTTCACTATTTATGTTATGAGTCCCATGTAATAGGGGGTGGGCCTATTGCCATATACCGGGCACAATTCCAGACTCCGTGCTACTACTGAGAATTAATTAAAAACCCAGTAATACTTTGCCCGACCCGGAATCGAACCCGAGACCTCGTTGCCCGGCAGTCGCACTTGCGACCACTCGGCCAACGAGGCAGTCTATATAGTCAGTATATAGTATTTATATTACTTCATATTATTCCCTAAAGTGCAGATAAAACGTCACAATTAACCAAGATTTCACCTATAAAATATAAAATAGGTTATTTAATTGACGTTATCCTAGATTTTGCACACGACAAAGAGTATTGAAAATCAGACACTGATATTTTGCTGGTCACTAAACACATTCATTCGATACCTATGTTCATTTGTTTTTAAACCAAAATCTGAAATTATTTCTTCTCGGTCATAACCACCAATTTCACAAGCATTAATGTATGTAGATAAATTTAATTTATTCTAGACAATTAATCTTGGACACGATTGAAAACTTGCCAATTCAATAAATCAGATCAATAAAATTGTTTAAATTTCCATGAAATTCTATTTCTAGATGCAATCTATATATATAAAAGAAAGTCGTGTTAGTTACACCACTTATAACTCAAGAACGGCAAAATAGATTTGGCTGAAAATTGGTATGGAGGTAGCTTAGAGCCAGGAGACCGACATAGGATACTTTTTAACCATCACGAACGGGGACGGGAAAAAATGGGATTATGCGTACGAAGTCGCGGGCAGAAGCTAGTTATAAATATTTCCTGGTAAGTAACTAATGAATGAGCTGGTGTTTAACAAATCAGATTTAATCATAATTGTCCATGACTCAATAGCCGAAAGTGTAAACCAACTATTAACAGCATAGCAGTACCTGGATGACCGTGCTTTGCTTAGTTTTTTTTAGTAAACAACATTTCCTTAAATTGAAACCTAGCTAGACCGATTTACCGCCCCCGAAACCTCCTGAATACAAAATTCCAAGTCATGTGCTTTGATTTCGAAATCCGCACCTACTACCTAATTTGAATTCGAACGTTTTAGTAATAATTTTCGATTTCGCGTTAGCGTTCGACTATCTCTGCACAAACTCGAACCAAGCAACCGTACAACCTATCCCTTCTATCAAATGTCATTTAATAAATATATTAAAAGTTCACTTACTGCTTAAAAGGCAATTCAGCCCTATCCAGCATGAACATGCAGGCATCCAACACAACAGCATCAAACTGACCGAACAGCCATGGTTTCCCTCTAGTTGTCTTCACCGGACCAACCCATACTTTGCCCACATCATTGAGCACATACTCCTGAAGAAGAGCTTTGTCTTCCATGTAGGTCTGGTCATCTAGAAGAGATATATTAGGTGAAACAAGTGAATTTATTTCTGCAAATAGGCTACAAGGCAGCACTTTTACACGTCAATTTTATCAAGCGAACGATGAGGTCGAAATTTCCTAACTGACTACTCTGAGAAGAAATGCCGAAACAAACTCAGAGGTATGTCTCTTTTAAAGTCCAGACAATATGCATAATAGATTATGTGTGAGAACCGTGCAAGTTCTTTCTGTAGTGGCCTTTTGAGGAAAGAACCACAATAATTTGAGCGGACCCGTTCTGAAGGCAGTACGCATGTGTCGGTTTACAGTCAGCTCAATTAACACGAGAGGCTGACTGATTCGACGAACAATACCAACCCAAAGAACATTTGCGTAGGCCGCAAAAATACTCAAATTGTCAGAATATGGGTAATTAGAAAAGAAATAGAGTGAGATTCTAGAGCCTATTTTATAGACCAAATATGCAGATCCTGGTTAACTGATCGCTAACCAGATGGTAAGCGAGACCACCAGAGAAGTCACAAGTACACACATGAGCTTTACATAACCTGTATAAATTGAACGTTAAATGTGCGGAAAGATGATGCGACGTGATGCCAGGATAAACTGGATTTGTATAGATTGATGTGTGGCCGTATGTATGTTGCCTGGCTTTTTAAAGTAGTGTAAATACTTTTTTCGGGGTTAGAAGAGTCGAAAGCTGTATACAATGTAAAAATATTTGGAAATTATTCTCTTTCTTCTTCTTCTAAATTTGGTAATTTCTATATCTCTATTAAAATTTGACTTACCAGGTATCCATGGGTTGAAGAGGATGTAGATGTCCTGATCAAAGTCGTAGACTGTGCGTTCTCCAGAATCCCTCTGCCATGTGACCACACGGAGCACCCACGCACCCACTGGCGCGGTTACTGGAGCTGATACCTAAAGGACAATAGGATATTTTATTTTAATCATCATCATGAACAACAACCCGTGTCTTACAGATGCCTTGCTTAGTACTGGATAAAAGAGTTTACTTTACATATGTATACCACGGCCTCACAGAAAACCGACGTGAAGCAACGCTTGCGTTGTGTTTCGTCATGTGAGTGAGGTTACCGGAGGCCCAATTACCCTCCCCTTCCCCAATCTCCCCAATTCCTGAATCCCCAACGATCCTCAAACTCCTAATCCCCAAAAGGACGGTAACGCACTTGTAACGTCTCTGATGTTCCAGGTGTCCATAGGCGACAACGATTGCTTACCATCAGGTGATCCGTCGAGTGACTGCCTCATTGGCTGAGCGGTCGCAAGTGCGACTGTCGGACAAAGGGTCTCGGGTTCAATTCCCAGGTCGGGCAAAGTATTACTGGGTTTGTAAAAACCTCAGTTGTTGCACGGAGTCTGGAAATGTGCCCGGTATATGGCAATAGGCTCAATCCCTATTACATGGGATTTATAACTCATGTGATGTTATGTTATGTTGTCCGAGTATAAATTATTCTTCTATCCTTTATTAACTACATTTTAATTATGACTGAAGTTTCTGATTACTGATTTACTGGGTGCAGTGTCTACATATATATTATTAAATGATGACAAGCAAACGATAAAATTATAAATAATATACCTAGGTATTAATAAAAGAGATATACAAGGGTAAAATAATTAATTTATGAATAATAAGTTGTCTTAAGTTTATTTGCAATACTTGTGTTACTAGAAACCAAGACTGGTATGGTGTTTGCTCATCATTTGATATTTTTCCTTGAAATACGTAATAGATATTACCTGCTAAAACATATCGTCTCACGTTATTCTCCGATGGGATTAACCAGAGATAGGTACACATTGTCTAATGTAGGACCCGCTTTTGACCAGAAGCTAATAGGGGATGAGTTCATTGTCAAATACTTTTATTTTATTTTGAGTAGTATCAGTACCAGTACCACGTAGGTACCTACTCAAACCAAAAACCTATTTTGAATTCACTTAGTTAAAGTTTAGATTTAGAACTATCTGCCATTATCAAACGGATTTAATCTTATACTGTATGCCCTAGGACTTTGAAAAAAAGACATAATATCACTTAGATATGATTGAAGCACTAAAATGTCAGTGTGTTATATATATGACATAACATAACATAACTTCACGCCTTTCATCCCCGGAGGGGTAGGCAGAGCTGTACATTACGGCACTTAATGCCACTGTACAATGATGTAACACCCACTTTTCACTATTTATGTCATGAGTCCCATGTAATAGGGGGTGGGCCTATTGCCATATACCGGGCATTTGGCACAATTTTTTTTGATTAAGAGAGGTCCTATTTCTTATATTTGATTGAAATATAAGAAATAGGACCTCTCTTAATCAAATTTATTGGATTGCCAGTAGTTAGCTACATATATATATTCAAAACACATAGCTTCTACGTAAATTAATGACGTCTATTATAATTCAAGTTTCACCAGTTTAACATATTTGAATATTTTAATTTAATAATCATAATTTATCGCATTGTTATTAATTATTGTAGAAGTATTATGAATAGTACTGCACAGAAAAAGCAGAGTTTCCCGTTTGATTTAATGATTTAGTTTACAATTGAAAACGTAAAAAGCAACATACCGGCCGATCGTATAACCTCCTCCCTTTTTGAAGTCGGTTAATTAAGCAAGACAGACAGCTGCTTATATAATCAGATTCCAAAAGTCACCTTGATTTGTCAGACAGTAGGAATAAATTTTAATAAATGTACCAAATCGACTCTAAAAATACTTTAATCAATCGCTATGTATGTAAATATCGATACTTAACAAACGCAATGGGTTTCTGATTATCTATTGTTCAAAATCAAATTATACCCTATTACACGTGCATAAAGTTGTAATTGAGATATTGTTTTGGCTTTTGTTTTCATACATAGCTCTAATACGAGTTATTATCAATTTGGTTTCGTTTTATTTGTATTTTTTAACCTTCAGTGGCGCCACTGTCGATTTAAGCTACAAATCTCTAAGGAAATTCTTCAATAAATAAAAAAAGAACTCGACTTTGCACTATAAGTACTAAATTAACATAAGATAACATCATCCACATTATGCCACTGTACAATGTAACACCCACTTTTCACTATTTATGTTATGAGTCCAATGTTATATATAGGAGGTGAGCCTATTGCCATATACCGGGCACAATTCCAGACTGTTAAATCCTGTAATAATTTGGCCGACCCGGGAAACTGTCGCACTTGCGACCACTCGGCCAATGAGGCAGTTTTACAAGTACTCAATATATTTGGTATTTATACATATAATTGATGCCCATATAATATAATTGGTATAGAATTCTTACCTAGACGCAATTATATACTTTTTATACTGCAAATGCAATTTCGTACGTGATAGAATTAGCATAGCAAATTTACTAAAACTTGTTCTGTAATGGCCAATAAATTGCATAATTCTATTTAAATTATACAGCTAGACTAGACTGATTACACAATCCTGGTTTGATGTACCCATATATATATATATATTATTTTAAACAAGTTTTTGATGCGTCGTAGGTACCTGCTATCTAATTAGTAAAAACTCGTGTAGCAGCAATTTCTCTAGAGTTGAATTGAGAAGACACAGCTAGACATGGATTACAGTGGTCTAAGGGCTCGTACACAAAACTGCGGTGCGAAGTCACATCGTAAAAATATGCGACGTCGCATCGCAAAAATGTGCGAATTTATTCTTCTAAATTCTTCTTTGTTTCTTTTGCCTGTATCTCCTAAGCAATAACAAAAGCACACACTTATTTTTAACGATCCATGTGACGACCTAGTTTTCGATTTAAAATACGTTTAGTACAGTTGACGGTCGTCTTAGGAATAGTCACCCTGGGAGACGCCTCATCGCTCGAAATCGCATCGCAGCAATTCGCATCGTAATTTTCTGCGTTGCGAATTCGCATCGCATCGCATTGCGGTTTTGTGTACGGGCCCATTAGGGCTTACCATTAGGCATGACTATCGTAGATTAAAAGTTCAAAAAAGATCAAATTGCTCGCATAGGATGGCAAATAAGTACCAACTCATAGTCACACCATCCTGGAGACTATTCTTTCCAAATCGATAAAGCACGCTTGTCCCAAAACGGAGTCGCGGAGAACCTAACGGGTAACCGGGGCTCCGGCTCGACGTGCAGGAGAAGGAACGGGGTAGTTTTAGTCAGTAAGAACTCCCTTCCGCCTCTCTCAGGCGGGATAAGTCATTCGATGATTTTCCCCCCTAAAAAGCCTAAAACGGAACACTACCAACAATTCAATACATTGAAGGTTCAAACGAATTCGGCCAGTTTCGTACACAAATCATTGTTTGAACTTTAAACAAAACTAGATCAAGAAATCTTATTTGAAAGCTGTGCTCGTGAATATGAGTCCCAATGTAACTCGAAACTGGTAGTGCCTTTCTCGAATAGCTTACGTGAGTAAGCCGTGTACGCTGTACATATTTTTATTGATTAAATCAAGACTTAATCTCAGTATCTTAATAACCCTTACCTTGAAAGAGACAGTGTTTCCATCCTGTACGTCTAGGAGAGTGGCTGTCCATGCATGAATGTCCGGTACAGCATCACGGCGTATGAACATCCTTCCCACAGTGTCCATCGATGGCTGGTCCCCTAGAGACAAAGGATAAAAGATTAATTAATCAACAGTTTTCATTTCTTGCTGAAATTTTGGGCAAATTTTTGTGTTTTGGGAAATATTACATGTTTTTGAAATACTTTGTAGTAACATGGAAATAGTATTCACTCGCAGCATTCGTCGTAGATAGTAGGTTCCTGCAAATCTATAAGGTTCGAAATAAATGTAGTCAAGGGACACTGGAAGCTTCGGAGTTGATTTACCTACTTAGAGGATCCAGTTCCCTTTATTGGTGCTGATGAACAAGAGCATCAGGGTGATAAAACTTAAATCATAAGATGTCCCAAGCAATATTCGAAAGATATAAAAGCAGGATCTTATTACCAATAGAAAACACCAGCTGTATGATGTCGTTGGCTTCATCGTAAGGTCTGGTGAACCTCACGACTCCACTGAACGGCTGGCCACGTCGCACGATGGTGACTGTCGGGTTCTCCTCATTGACCACTTCGTACCTTAGTAAAAATATAGGAATAGGTTAGGTTGGAATGTGAACACTTTTATTTTTTTTTTTTTGAGGTGGAAAATCATCCAATGACTTCTCACGCCTTGGGTTAGGCGAGAGGGACTATCAGTCTCTTACTGATTAAAAACCACCCCGTTCCTACTCCTGCTCTTTGAGCCGGAGCCCCGGTAACCCGTTAGACCTTCCACGAGAATCGTGAGGAAACCTAGGCTTATAATGTCTAATTATAAGTTTGAAATTGCCAACCCGCATTGAACAAGCGTGGTGATTAATGCTCAAACCTTCTCCGTTTGACAAGAGGCTTTGCTCAGTAGTAGAGGTAGGCATTTATAAGCTGTTGATGATGATGATACCAGGTACTGATCTAGGTATCTCTAAGTTTGTACTATTCTTGGTTAATTTTAATTTTACTTAACTTTATTGTCGTCTGTCGTTAATTTTACTTACTTTGTTGTGTTATGTGGTTTCGCATTTTCCCTAGGGTAGAAGTGTACGATCTCAACCTGCAGTGGATCCATCTTTATTTAATATCTGAAACAAAATAAAAGAGATTTTAAAAATATTGTTTGTAGAATTGTCATCGTATATTATGCAAGTTAAACATTTTTGTGTGCGTTTTTTATACTTGCATTCTTTATCAAAATGAAATATGTATATTACTCCCTTTACCGTACACCTACACATGTACGGTTTCATAATTTTTAGTATTTTATTTAAGTTGATTTGACGTTTGCGGTTAGATTAGCTTTATGTGAATGCCAGATAACGTGAAACGCCCTAAATACAATCATATGAGAATTTGGTGAAATAACGGATATCCTAACCGCAAACGACACGAGTACACTCGTAGAGGGTAATGTATTATATTTCATCAATGATTGGCATTTTTTATCGTATAGGTATTTTTTTTAAGTGGGATAATCTACGAATGGCTTCTCCCGCCTGGGTGAGGCGGGAGGGAGTGTCAGACTCTTACTGACTAAAAACTACCCCGTTCCTACTCCTGCACTTCGAGCCAGAGCCCCGGTAACCCGTTAGGTTCTCCGCGAATACGTATAGGTATATAGGACGTACATATTGCGAAACACTGGACGCATTTTCAAATTTAAACTGCCACTAACCCGCTTCCCAAGCTTCAGACGTTATGGCAAATAATGTGGAGAAGGCCGATAGCCCATAGTCCAAAAATGCACTGTCACAGGCAACTAATGTTTTTTATGGGATAAGCCGGTAAACGAGCAGACAGAATACCTGATGGTAAGCTATCGGCGTCGTTCATGGATACCCAGAACATCTGAGGCGTTAGTTACAAGTGCGTTACCAGCCTTTTGGGGATTAGGAATTTGAGGATTGCTGGCAATTCAGGGATTGGGGAGATTGAGGAAGAAGGGAAGAATAATTGGGCTTCCAATAACCTCACTCACACGACGAAACACAACGCAAGCGTTGTTTCATGTCGGTTTTCTATAAGGCCGTGGTATCGCTCCGGTCGAGCCGGCTCATTCGTACCGAGGCATGGCTCTAAAACACTTGACATGGTGATGATCTTAAATAATCTTAATAAAGAAAAAAAAACATTTCGGATCGCCTGGTCGACACATCTCGTGACTTGAGGGCTGGTCTTTTTCTCGGTCAGAGGTTAAGCATTGCTATACAACGTGGTAATGCTGACAGCCTTCTGGGTACTTTCCCCACTGACGTTGATGCGGACGAATTTGTCGATGCTTTATGTAAATAGTTGTTTTTGTTTTTCTTTTAATTAATTTTAATCTTATGTTGTACTTATATATGTAATTTAAATATATACAACATTTATATTTATATCAATATAAAGTGTGTAATCTTATGTTAATAAACAGTATATACTATGAACGTAAAAAAAAAAATGTAGTAATAGTTAGTTTTAATTTCATTTAAGTTTTTATTTAAGTAGTGATTGAATTCTAAAATCGAGTAAAGAAAATGTATTGACGACAATACATTGATTGTTGATAGGACAAGATTATAGAAAACCCTCTTTTATAGAGGACGCGTATAGTCCGGCAAGTGGACTGTCATGGCGGACTATTATTACTGATGATGATTTTAATCAAAGAATCTTGCGCAACAATACAGTTATATACAAAGCGCTTTATCGTTTTGTTTCCAATACACAAACTTCTACTGAAGTATCTTGGCGCTAGCACACGGTCCTATATTAAATATTCAACAATAATTTTCATGGAATTTCAATTGCAATATTACATAGTATTTTGTTGGTATATTAGTCACGATTTGTAGATATTGCATTACGTTGGTAATGAAGGTGGATTTGAAGGAAAAGAAATTATGCCTAATAACAATACAGTAATAAATATATATTTGTCAAAAACGAGCGCTGAATTGAAATGTGGAAGGAAGAACAAGAAGAGAATGACCAAAGGAAAGATGGATGAATTTAAAAAAAACGTACGAGGGGTATCCCATCATCTTTTTTTTAAGGGGGGAAAATCATCAGAAGACTTCTCCCACCTGGGTGAGGCGGGAGGGAGTGTCAGGCTCTTACTGACTAAAAACCACCCCGTTCAGTTAAGTTAAGTTCTCCGCGACTCTGAATTGGCATCAGCCCTTTTGGGCCTCAACCGTGGTGCTCTTTGAGGCCACGCGGAACGCGACGCTCCATTCGCTCGGGTCTTGTTCTGGTCGGGCAGCGAGTCACCCATGGTCGCCGTCCGCAGGCCCGCGCTTATGGTGGCCGGAGATCGTATCCCATCATCTAATCACCTTATCTGGGCATCAAATCCCCACGTGACAAATGAGGCAGTCTATATTATCAAAGTTATCACAACACAAGTCAAGCTAACATGAAACTTTCAAAACTCCCAAATCTACCTTATTACAATTGCCATAAAGTTAAAAATCTCATATATTATATCATAATTACTAAATTATGTCGAGAGCACATACCGCATCCTAAAATAGTCACCGTTTGCATACTGTGTCGATGTTACACAGCATATACAGGATGCGTCAGATTCCGCATCTTATTAGGTAAGGTAATGTCCACTTATAGATACCGTTACATGTGACGCATAGTGCAGAGGCTCATGTAAATTAATCGATTTAAAACGAATTTCTTTAATTGTTAAGTGGCTTCAAGCTCGATTGTTGAGCAAGAGGACTGGTACTGGTACTTCACTTACCGGATTGGACAATAGGGTAGACGACTAATTTTTATTTTAATGTCCGTCTGATAGATTATTTAAAAACATTAGACACGTATTTTTTCTTTTCTCACAGAAACGAATAGTTTCGAAGATATATTGATTTGAAATGTCGCGTGACGTCACTTCTCAGTACATTTTATACTAAGAAATGACGTTTTAGCCCCCACTCCTAAACTTTGATTCGTTTTATCTAAGTATTGTTTTATTATACGACAAAATAAAAAATACGTGTCTAATATTTTTTCATTACCTAACTTACGGACTAATTATATTTTTAATTTTCATACCCTGTCATCATCCCCATTCTTATTGGGTAAAGAGATCAGCGGTTTTTTTTGGATTTTCGGAATATTGTACCTAGTTCTCATCAGTTGTAAGGAGATAGGATTTGTGTCCGGTATATGGCAGTAAAAATAAGCTTACTCTCTGCCTCCTATTATGTGGGACTCGTAACACAATTGGTAGAAATTGGTTGTTACTTACATTTTAAGTGTGGGAGAGCCATGCTCGACCGCAGTGATACCACGGCCTCACAGAAAACCGACGTGAAACAACGCTTGCGTTGTGTAATTTACCGGTGTATTGCAAAAATAAAATATTCGTGTAAGCCATGCAAAGCATATATGGCACCTTAATTTTAACGTTTGTTTTGTCATTTATTTGTATGCACATTGTACACTAATTATCTTTATCTTGACCGTGACATTGCCTGAAAGTTAATGATTATGAAATATGAAGGTTAATGGCTGAACAGTTAAAAGAAGACAGTTTATTGACTCGGTTTACTCATCTAACGAGAATTTAACTAACTAACACCTGAGATTTTCACTAACACACGGTGACTGTCATGCTGCTACTGGCTGCTTTAGTCAGCTGCGGTGCGGGCCCAACGCGCCCTCTGCCGTGAAGCAGCGCAACAGTCGCGGAATGCTGCTCATGAATATGAGCCTCTAGTATGGCCCGAAACTAGTCGAGTTCCTCGTCAAACAGTTACGTGAGTACGCCGAAAACATAATAATTAATAAGTATGTCTAACGAAAGTTTTAATATAAACATGAATAGAAATTCATTTTTTGTGAAAATACCACAATAGATTAGAGAGAATATTAATTCGTGTCATTTTCCCAATAACCTAGTTTTTTTAGGTTGGCACCTAGTTAATCGGTCCGAACTGAATTGCAGTATTCTACATGTAGCATCTGCCATATCGGCTAGATAAAAAATAAAAATTAAATTTTATATAAACATCTCTATGGCGACATCCATTAGTATATGTCGATGGTAGATAATAACAAATAGAAAATTGACTTATGTTTTGTTTCATGACATAATGTTCTCAAAATATCACATAGTAGGTAAGTAACAAATTATTTTGTATCGTGTAGCGAATGCAAGAACGTTGCCGTCGATAAAATTTTATTACGTAGTGATTTATAGTTTGCTAAAACAAATAATTTAAGAAACTATGTTGCTAATAGTGTTGGACGAATTTCAATGCGAACAATGCATTCATGTGATTTTGAATACTATACACATAAGGATTATAAACTGCCTCGTTGGCCAAGTGGTCGCAAATGCGGCTGCCGGGTTGCTCGGGTTCGATTCCCGGGTCGGGCAAAGTATTACTGGGTTTAAAAAAAATTCTCAGTAGTAGCATGGAGTCTGGAACTGTGCCCGGTATGTGGCAATAGGCTCACCCCCTATTACATGGGACTCACAACATAAATAGTAAAAAGTGGGTGTTACATTGTACAGTGGCCTATTTTACACCTCTGACTACCCCTTCGAGGATAAAAGGCGTGATGTTATGTTACGTATGAAGGATTATAAGTGATTTATGTTACAGTGACACGACTTCGTCATTTCGATTCGAGAAAAGAACTGATACGACCTTCAAACCTTCATGAAAAGAGCGTTCCTTTTTAAAAGGCCGGCAAAGCTCTGTGTCCTCTATTTTCTTTATTATCATCCGGCGCTGATCGCTTACCATCAGATGATCCGTTACCTCCTATTCCATAAAAAATAAAAAACTGAAAGTAAGTAGGTACCTATTTTTCTCATTTCAGTAAACATAAATAGCTTCGCGTTATCAAAACCATTGTCTTAGTTAAACGCCTATTTTACCACCTTCATATATGTAAGTACCGGAAAATCTTTAGACGGTTCATACAAATCTTGTTCCTATAAGGTACATAGCGGCTATCCAGGTCATTCTAAAACAGGCTCTAAATATATACAATCAAAAAAGTTTATTAAATCTGGTTAGAATAACAACTGATAGTATTTTTATCATAGAAATACATATTATAAAA